CTGTGTACTGGAATCACCGCTACCCTTTGGACAGTTCCTTGCAAGATGACCCTTTGATCCACAGGAATAACAACCACGGCACTCGCTCTTAATGTGACCCCTCCGCCCACAATTGTAACACGTAAGATTTGTAGGCTTGCGTTTGTTTTCTGCATTATTTTGTTTGTTCTGATGATGTTTTGGACCTCCACCTTTTTGATTCGATTTTGTGAACAGTGCGACCGTAGCTTCATCTGAGTTTCCTTGTCCCTGCATTCTCACTTCCTCTGCCATTAACCTTGACGTCAAGTTTGCCAAAGTCCTTTTTGTATCGTCGACCGAGTCCCACGCACTATGGAAATGATTGAAATTCGACGGTAAACTATTTAGTATACGCGTCAACAACATCGATTCTGGAATTTCGCCACCGAGACTTTTCATTTTCACTGCCAACGTTTCGAGTTTTGTCAAGTTGTGTGCAACACTCTCACTAGAGTCCCATTTACAATCGAAAAACTGCATTTGAACCAGTGATAAAACTTCATCTGACTTCATATCATACACTGAATTTAGCTTTTCCCACATTTCCGCGGCGGTAACAGAATTTAAAAGTAAATCCAGCGGCTTCTTCTCAACCGACGTGATAATCAACTTTCTCGCTGCTTTGTCAGCCTTTTCAAACTTCTGCAGATCAGCTGCATAATTTGCTGCTCCAGTAATCGGTTTCACTAATTTTTTCTCACACACATCTAACAAATTGTCTTCATTTTCTAACAGAGTGCGAAGAACAAACCGCCACTGATGCCAATTGTCCTTATCACGTAGTTTCTCGATTTTCATTTCCATTTTAAAATTGCACTACACTATTTTCACTAAACAACGTAATCTGGGCCCATAACCTGTTGAGGATATGGAATAAATTCAAGGAAAATAGTTTTAACAAATGTTTAATGAAAAATTCAAATCAGTTATAAGCACAGATGCGCTCGGTTCGAACAACTTATCCCTTGAGAATACAGTGCAAAGCTGAAAAGCAAGCGTCGGTTTCGAAGTACCTGATGTACCGCAATAAAAATTAGGCCCTACAGTTTGTCGACGTCACTCGCAATGACTCACCCTTGCATTCTTAACCAAAATTAGAAAGTTTTATAGACGACAAATATTCGATGCTAAGATGCTAAGTTTTCAAGTTATATTCTTACAAATACAATTTTACTTCAACAGGAACGATACAAGTTTTCTTACTTACGGCTAGATTTTCTCTTAGACACTACCGTCGAGAGAGCTTGTTGAGAAGGGAGAATTCTCGCGATCTCGTCACACAATCAACGGGCAAAACGAAAGAAAGGTGTTATGCGTATTTCCGCGTCTCGAAACGCGGTACTGATACCCTATCAGACACAAGCGGCGCAAGTACAATCCGTGCGGACTGACCGGTTTTAAGAACAAAAAATTATTTAATAAATTATAAAATAATTTACTAAATAATTTCTCACTGTACTGATCAACCGATTGGGACTCAGCCGGTTCAAGGTTCGATTTAATTTAACGTCCGCCCAAAGAAAATAGAATTTAAACTAGCAACTTTGTCGTCCGCAAAAATTTCTTTATATTGGATTTACCACCCAAGTAGCAAGGAATATTGATCGAATGTCAAACTGATATCAAGCGGGAATATTTTTTGACATTCAGGCGTTATCATAATGTCCTCTTCACGGGGACATTCCTCGGTGATGTATCTATATGATCTATGTGACGGTCTTTCACACAAAAAATGTAACGCATTACGTTTCCGTAGAAAATTTTTTCTTCTTACATGACAAATTATTTTCTTGACGCACTTTCTTTTCATTTTTAGTTTCCATTAATATTTATTTTCCTACATGCCAAATTTTTATCCTTGCGTATTTTCTTTTCATCTTCAGTTTTTATAGATAATTTCTTGTTTTTGGATGTCAAATTTTTTTTTGCGCTCTTTCCTTTTTATTTCTGTTTTATTACGATTACGTTTTCTCAATCTCTCATTCTCCTGTCTTATTATTTTCTGCTCAGATGTCGATTAACAGCTTCAAAAACTACTGTTGGTTTAAAAGAAACAATCTAATTAAACATTTCATTTGATGCACATTTAAACACCCCTCATTAAGTCTATCAAAAATATAAAGCCTTACTCTATCGTAATAGACACAAATTCAGTGACAATAATTGTTATTACCGTTAAAAAGTATTTGAATATGTTTATCACCTTCTCTAATTGGGACAATAAAATCAAGCATTTGTACATACAAAGTACTTTGCATATTGAAAAATGAATTGGAATCTTTTTTTTATAAATCTTTAAATTTGAACATATGCATGTAACACAGCCACACAAAAAAAAAGTACCCGGGCCGGGGAATGAGACCACCATTTCTTGATGTATTTTGATGTGCTGAACACGTATCTGAAGTCCGTTTAGCTCCATCACGTCAGGATTTTGACCTAACCTCAAAAAACATAGCTGATTTTAAATGACAGGAGAAATTTTTTAAATAATGGCAGATTTGCTTGAATCTTGTTACTCGGGGGTTTTTGGGGTCGCTGATTACGAATTTAACGTCAGATTTATAAAATTCAAAATGGCGGATCCAATATGGAGGACGAATTTTTAAAAAGTAGTTGGATTTTTACGAAAATTGGTATCTAGGGGTTTTGGGAGTCGCTGATTACAAATTTATCGTCAGATTATTCAAATTCAAAATGGCGGATCCAATATGGCGGACGAGTTTTTAAAAAATAGTTGGATTTTTATGTAACTTGGCCGATACTGGGGTTCCGAGTCCCTGCATCGTAATACGTTTCCTACGTGTGTCTGCCATGACGGCATCAAAGCCATTATCCAGGGACTTAGCCAGATAGCGGACAAACTCCGTTGCCCACCGTCACCGCGTGGAGGTGCCCTGGATGCAGACACATGTAGAAACATAAAGATATTTGACCACCGTACTATATCTGCTATTTTACATTTGAATAATCTGACGTTAAATTCGTAATCAGCGACTCCAAAAAAACCCCATGATACCAATTTTTGTAAAAATCCAACTACTTTTTAAAAATTTGTCCGCCATATTGGATCCGCCATTTTGAATTTGAATAATCTGACGATAAATTTGTAATCAGCGACTCCCAAAACCCCTAGATACCAATTTTCGTAAAAATCCAACTACTTTTTAAAAATTCGTCCGCCATATTGGATCCGCCATTATGAATTTTATAAATCTGACGTTAAATTCGTAATCAGCGACCCCAAAAAACCCCGAGTAACAAGATTCAAACGAATTGGACGATTTTTTTCAAATTCGGCCGCCATATTGGATCCGACATTTTGAATTTTTCAATTCTGACATAAGATTCGTAATCAGCGACCCCGAAAACCCCCGAGTAACAAGTTTCAAACGAAATTGATGATTTTTTAAAATTCGGCCGCCATATTGGATCCGCCATTTTGATTTTTTTAATTGTGACATCAGATTCGTAATCAGCGACCCCGAAAACATTAAAAACAACTATGACTTTAGAATTTAAAATTTTTGTCTTTAAATGAGAAATTTTTTTACTTACGCATTTCCATTTATGATGGTTTATAATTGTTATAACAAAAGCATTATCATAAATTTATTAATTTGCCACTCATTTTTTGAAACTTTACATGTGTACGAACATTTTCATATATTATAAGTTTATTTATATTGCGTATAATTTTGGGCAGAGCTTTGGTCCACTTGACGTGGATCATCCCATATATATAATTTTTTTTTTTTTATTATTATAATTTAGTGTGTACATTTCTTATAGTTTAATAATTATTATAATGATTATTATAGTTTTTTGCCATTCGTCGAATTTTTTCATATATAATTATTCATGCATTTTTTTATATTATTTAAGTGTTTTCTCTTCTTCTTATTAGTTAATAATAGTTTAAAATTATATACATCTTCATTATCCTTTATCAATTGTTGATTTTTATCCTTATTAAGTAAGTTATAGTATGATTATCTGTAGGTAACATAAAAATTTTTGAATTCTGTTTTAAATATATTTGGATGTTTTTGATGTTTTTATTTATGGGGTTTAAATTATTATTTCATATGTATATTATTTATTTATTTTTTTTATTATTAATATTATTTAATGGTAACTTCTTTATCCTTGTTGTTGTGTAGTGCATAGGGCTTATTTGTTATCTTTTTGAAATGTGCAACGGTCAGCAATTTTGCGATTGAGTCATTTGAATGCAGCTAATTAAGATGAATACACGTAAGTATTTTAATTATATTTACCTTTCTTAATAGTTTTATGTGTTTTTATTAATAGTTTATATTTAATTGTATTTATTATTTTTGTTTCAGAAACTGTAAATAATAAAGAGGGTCCAAAGGGGGTGGACCGGTTAGAGGTGGCCTCTCGTTGGGGTAAGTTTTGTTTCATAATTTTTGATATATGTAAGCATATACGTTTTTTATATATATATTTACATTTTATGTCCCTTTTTTTGTTTCAGGTCCACCTTACTCTAACCTACTCATTACTGCGACGGGGGAGGAAGGGGAAAGAAGATTTATTCCTCCCCTTTCAAAAAATATTATTATTGTTTCCTCGCCCAATGGGCGAGTTGTAAAAATGGGGCGAGGTGTTTTGCCCCAAAATAAATTTTATGATTTTTATAAAATAAATTTTAATTTTTCGTATTTCTGTGTCTTTTTCATTTAGTTATAAGAAAATTAAATTTTAATTATTAATATTTTATTATATATATATATGTAAAATTCTTTTTTTTGTATATATATATATATATATATATATATTTTGTTTTGCTTTTATTTGAATTTTATATAAGGGAAATTATTTTTTTGGGGACTGTCATTTGCGGTTAACTTCACGCAAATGGCAACCTTAAGCTTTCATTGTCGCCTTTAGGTATTGCGGTGATTCAGCAATACTGTTTTAAAGGTGTCTTCATATTAAGATTTATTTTATTATATTCTAGTTATTTATTATATTTTAGGATTATTATGAAATAATTATTATATTTATAATTATTTATATTATTATTATTATTTATATTTTATTTTATAAGATATAATGATTTATCTTTAATTTTACTTATTTATAAGATGTGTAATTATACATTTTTATTTCAAAATTGATAGAAGTTTTATTTTTCTTAATTTTATTGTTATTATTTATTCCCATGTTACTGAGGGACCTGGTAGGTTCCAAAATTCATCAGAATCTATTGATTCCTCAGAATCTTTTATTTCTTTTTCTTCCTGTTTCTGGATTTTTTTATTTCTAAGGATGCCATGGCAATTGTTTTTTGTATGGCCTCTTTTATAACAATATTCGCAACAGCTTTCCCATTTAAACATTTTTAATTTAATTTTATTAGGTTCATTAATGGCCATTACGTGGACTCTACCCTTAATATTTTTCTGTTTTTCCTCCTCACTAAAATAATAGACTCTATTTAATTCTTTTAAAATTTTCAATGCCGCACAATGTTCGGATTCTCTAATGGTTATAATTTCGTCGCTTATTGCCGTAAATACATTGCCATGTTTTGTATCCGTAACCGTACATTTAACTTGCCATAATTTATTAAATTTAAGGCCGGTTTGTATTATTACTGAATAATTTGGTTTGTCGATATTGTATTCCGCCGTTATTTCTTCTAGAATTCCTTTTGGATAGTTAATTTCTGCAATATCCCCTTTTGGGAATTTAAAACTCTCTATGATTTCTCCTTGTAACGGTGGTGTAAATAAGATTGTCTCCAACATCTAAAAATTAAAAATTTATTAGTTTTTGTTATTCATAAGCTAGTTTTAGTTTATCTATATATTTTTGAAATCTTTGACCGTCTTCATTTATTAAAATTGCGTTACTTCTATCCAAGATACTAACAATTTCGTATGGGCCGTGATAATGGGGGTCAAATTTTCTTTTAGGACCTTCTTTCAATACGTAAGCCTTGTCTCCTACTTTTCCATTGAAGGGTTTAGCTGTTTTATTGTACCTTTCTTTGGATTTCTGTTTCGCGCTTACTAAATTTTTGGCTGCTAATGCCCTTATTTCTATTAATCTGTTTATTAATTCGGATAAATAGGAACCATATGTCTCCAATTTTTCTTCTTGAGGAAAGGAGCTAGGGGTACGAGCGGTTTTTCCAAAAATTAACTCATATGGAGTGAAATTAGTAGCTTCGTGGACGGAAGTATTATATGCAAACATGGCGAAGGGTAATAATCTATCCGAGTCGTTACCCTCACAACAAAAGGATATTCAGGATATCCTTGGGACGTCCTGGGGATATCGATTTGTTTTCGGCGGTTTGGATATCCCTGGGATATCTTAGAGATGTCCATGGATATCCAGAGGATATCGTAGGGATATCCGAATCGCCAAAAGCAAATGGATATCCCCAGGACGTCCCAGGGATATCCTGAATATCCTTGTGTTGTGAGGGTATAGTCTCTAGCATATTGTTTTATGTATTCTGCCAATACGGCATGACTACGTTCTAAAGCTCCATTTGTTTGGGGCCTGTATCCTGATGTTGTTACTTGTTGGATTTTAAAATTTTTTGACAATTTTGAAATTAATTTTTCTATGAATGAAGTGCCTTTATCTGTTAAGATTACTTTTGGGGCTCCGTAGACCGAAAATAATTCTTTTGCAACCGCATGGGCTATAGTAGTTGCTGAAATATCAGGTATTGCAACAGCTATGCAATATTTTGACAGGTGATCCTGCATTGTAAGGATATGACAATTCCCGTCTGGTGTTGTGGGTAATTTTCCTACTGTATCTAAGGAAATTTTATCGAATGCGTCTAAAGGAGTATTAAGGTTCAAAATGATTATTTTTAACAATTATGGTGTAGATATTATGTTTTCCTCTTGGGGTAACATAAATTTGTCCTTTTATAGGTCTTTTTGCCTTTATTTCTAATGTGTCTAGTACTCCAATATCGATAAGTAATCTACTTATTGGTGTGGTGAATTCACAATCAGCTGCTAGAAAATGAACATAATTGTTTTTATAATATGTAAGATTTTCTCTGCTGCTAGTAATATTTTTAATTTTTGTATTTGCATATTTAGGCAAAATTGAAGGTTGAATTTTTGATAATGATGCGTTTATCATTGGTTTTCTTTTAGTTGTTTCTTTTTCTTCACTTTCTTCTTCTGAGGTTTCTTTCTCGGAAGTGGATTCGTTTTGTTCGTACAGAGAGGTGTGATACGGTGTGGAAAAAGCTTTAGGATTTTTTATATGGTGGGGTGTGTAAATCTCTTCTAATTGTTCTTCTGTCGTGTCGTATTCTAAGTCTGTATTTTTGTTTTCTGGATTTTCTTCTGGGTTTTGTTCCCATATTGATTCACCTTTAGCGTAATCCCAATAAAAATCTAGTTTTTGGGAAAATTCTGAGTGATCTCCAGTTATTATTTCGTTTGCTGTTTTATGTATTTCTTCATCGTCGTTTCCATCAGAATTTGTTGTCCAATTTCTTGGTGAAATTCTTATTGAATTCGGACGATTTGGTAAGCATTCATTAAATTGTATTATTGACTTGTCTAATGTTTTAGCTATTTCTTCTTTTGTTAGGCATAATTCTTCTTCTTCTGAGCTACTATCGCTTCCGCTTGCTGAAGAATCTAATGCATTTATTGTTTGCATTTCTGGTTCTATAGTGGGTATTTCCATTGTGATTATTTCGGGAGGTGCACTTTTTGGACCTGGTTCCGTTCGTAATGACATTGGAGGAAGTTGTAGACTGGGAAGTACACTTCTACTTGGTTTTTGAATTGGGGGTTCAGGTATTTCAATCTCTTCTTCATTGTAGCTTTCATCATTAGTCGAATCTTCGATTATTTTGACTCTAGGTTGTAAAGCTCTTCTTTTTGCTACTCTTTCCGCTATAGTACTTTCATATAAATTTGTTCTGGATGGGGGTGGTTTTAAAATTGACTTTGGTTTAGGAGCTGGCTTTGGGATAGGGTTGGGTTTTGGCTTAGGTCTAGGGGGTGGTTTAGGTTTATCAGTTTTTCGATTCATTAATATTCTGATTCGTGACTTGTTTCTTTCCAATTGGGAATCTTCTTCTGAATCATCAGTTATGACATTTCTGGATAATGCATCTGCATTGGTATTTAGTTTTCCTGATTTATGTTGAAATTCATAAGAGTAGTCTCTCAATTTTAGTCGCCATCTTATTAATCTTTGTCCAGGGTCTTTTATTGTATCTATCCATCTTAAAGGTTCATGATCACTAATTAATGTAAATTTCTTTCCGTAAATATATGGTCTGAAATTGTGAACAGCGTATAATACAGCTAGGCATTCTTTTTCCGTTGTTGAGTAGTTTAATTCAGGAGCATTTAATACTCTAGAGAGATAAGCTATGGGTAAATCAAAGCCGTCTTTCTGTTGACTTAAAACAGCACCTATCGCAAAATCAGATGCGTCCGTGGTTATGGTAAATGGTTTATCATAATCTGGGTATTGTAAAATAGGGCTTGTACATAATGCTTCTCTTAGTTCTTTAAAACTACTCTCTTCCTTTGGTCCCCAACTAAATTTTACGTCCTTTTTCAATAGGTTTGACAGAGGTTTTGCCTTTGCTGAGAAATCCTTTATGAATCTTCTGTAATATCCAGCCAAGCCTAAGAATTGTTTTACATTTCGGGGTGTTTTTGGGGTTGGGAAGTTTTTTACTGCTTCTATCGTTTTGGGGTTAGGTTTTACACCTTCACTATTAATTATATGTCCTAAATATGCTACTTCTTTAAACAAAAATTCACATTTTTCAGGTTGCAAGGATAAACTTGCTTCTTTAAGTCTGCTTAATAATCTTCGCACCTTTTTTCCATGTTCTTCTAGGTCCTTAGCGTAGACCTTAGCATCATATAAGTAGACGAATAGTTCAGCACCTTGTAATCCAATTAATACTTGGTCCATTAATCTTTGAAAGGTGGCAGGTGAATTTTTTAATCCCATTGGCATTCTGATGTATTCGTAATGTCCATGGGTAGTTGAGAATGCGGTTTTTTCTCTATCCTTTGGATCTAGCTCTATTTGGTGAAATCCACTGCCTAAATCAAATACAGAAAAGTACTGGGCCTTGCCCAAATTATCTATGATAGAAGTTATATGGGGTAGGGGATAAAAGTCGCCTACGGTCTCATCATTTAATGCTCTGAAGTCAATTACTATATTCTCCACTTCTTTTTTCCAGTTCCATCAATTTTCTTTGGAACTATGAGTCATGGAGAGTTATAAGGAGAGCAAGAAGTTCCTATTGCACCTTCCGACTTCATCCTATCGATGACTTTGTCGATTTCCTCTTTTTGGGATGGGGAAAATCTATATTGCTTTGTATGTATAGGTATTTCATCTGAGGTAAGTATTTTATGTTGTACTAAATGTGTTGACGTTAAGTGTTCACCTGGAAGGTGAAAATTATCTAGAAATTCTTCTATCACTTGTTTGACATGTTCTTTTTCTTCTTCATTTAAATGATTTAATCTTAAATGTTCTATAACGGCAGTGGCTTTATCTGGGGGTTCTATATATTCTTCTTCTGAAGAATATTCGTTAGAATCTTCACCTGGTAGTTTATAAAATTCAAATGGTATAAGTTCTTGGGGTAAAATTTCAATTTCTATGTCTTCTGCTGTTGTATTTATAGCATAAACATGACATACACCATCGTTGTTTGTTACTATTCCTTCACCTATTAATTATCCTTCAGTTGTATCTAGTAATGGTAAATATCCTTCTTTTAAATCGGTATTTAATACTTCAACTGGTATTACTTGTTTTGTTCTTGCTTTAATGGTTAAATTCAGCCTTTTATTTGTCTTATTTTCCGTTAGATTTTCTCTTGCTTCTTTAGATTCATTGTCAGAGAAGAATATAGGATGAATAGGATTAGAATGAGTCACTAAAGTGTGATGCCAAAAAGATATTTCGACTTTTTCTTCTCTTAAATATTCTCTTCCAAGAATACCATCTGACTCAATGGGAAAGTTTGAAGGCACTGTTTGGAAAGTTACTGATTTTCCATGAATTTCCACTTGCACAGTTCCTAGCGTTTTAAATTTTATGGGAACTATTCCAGCTATGTGGATGGCTTCATCTTGAATTACTTCTAATTCTGGTTGTAAGACGCATAATTTTATTAAATTAACATCTGCTCCAGTGTCAATTAGTAATGATGCAGTTGTTTCTAAGAAACTAGATGATCTTATTTTTATTACTGGTGATTCTCTTGAGTTTCTTGCATGCAAGATGGTTCTTGTGATCGTAGAATCCTCACGTTTATTGGACGCTCTTTTAGATTTCCACTCGTCGTCGCGTCTGTCCGTCGAGCCATGTTTGAGTTTAAATTGTCCTTTTCTAAGGAGTGGGGAGACTGAGCCCGTGGAGGCGTTCTAGAACCTTCATTAGGTTTATAATGTTGACCTTCTAATCGAGGTATTTGAGGAAAATAAGGGTATGAATTGTAAGGAACATAAGCGTTAAGAGGAAAATAATTAGGATGATTAAGATAGGGTTGTTGATTATTTGTGCCCGAAAATTGAGATGAATAGGGATTTTTTAATATTCCTGAAGGGATTGTTGGTTGGGAAAAATATCTGGGTTGTTCCACAGGATAAGGAAATCGCACCCTTGGACTAAGGCTTCTTTCTCTGTTTCCATAATCACTAGATTGATTGGATCGTGAATAATGATAAGTGTTATAGTCTGACTTATAGGATTGATGACGGGCTTCATATTCTAAAGCACTTTTAAATGCTTCGTCCAAGGTTTGTAAATTTCTAGCTTCGATCGCGCTAGACATGGAGTCTGGGAGTCCTCGGATAAATGATTTTAGGGCACAATCTGCTAAAGGTCTCATCATGTTATCGGCACACAGCGTATCATATTTTTCCACTAGGGCTGCCTTGGCTCCTGCCATTAGGGTTGATATTTTGTCGTAAAATTCGCTGACACTATCACTGCGGCCCATACGAATTGTAGATATTTGTTGTAAATATCCTGTGTATGATTTGCGAGGTGCAAACCTTTGCCTTAAATGTTCTATTAACTCATCTATTTTACTATAAGTTTTACCATAAGTACTATCCCTTGCAGTACCCTTTAATCTAGAAAGAATACATTTTAAATATTGATCTTCACAACCGATTGGTATGCTGGAAGCACCATTTATTATGTCTTCAATAAAATCTCTTACGGGTATATTTTTACCATCATAAAAGGGAATGTTCATCATACCTTGTTGTAACGCAAAACATTCTGCCATAGAAGTGATCATAGAATCGCTTAGGGTTCTATCTATATTACCGGTAATAGTGTGTCTAGTATTATCAGTAGCCATTGTTGTTAATGGTTTACTAAATATAGGAGGAGTGATTAAAATAACTCGTTAATTATATCAAGGGAAAATGGGAGTCCTAGAACCCCTGCAATATCAGTATTACTTTCACAATGTATTGTTTGAAATTCTAATACAGTATAATTTATACACACTTTTGCTTCTCCGCATGTGTTTATGGTGCTATCGCGTAATGAATATTTTATTATTCGATTTATGCCCAAATATGGATTTAATTCGCTTTCTTTAATTAAATTTATTGGTAAAGATGGGTCTATTAAAAATATACCCTCATTATGTGTAAAGAATAAAGAATTTAAAAGAATTTTTGGGTATAATGTGTTATATTTCTCAAGAAATTGAAAATACGTGTTCATTCGTGTAATGGCGGCTACGTGTGTTCGATCCGTATCCGTAACGGCGGTCGCGCCTGACTTAATACTCCTGGGGCTGACGCGCGGTGTGTATACTACTTACGGTGTACTGCACGCGGCGTCAGTGAGTGGTTTAAGTCAATGGCGGCTACGATGTACTTCGTTCGCGACCGTAACAATGATCGCGCCTGAACTTAAACTCCTTGTACTGGCGTGTGCTGTGTACACTACCTACGATCTACTGCAAGCGGCGTCGATGAGTAATTCAAGTCGGCGGGAATATTAGCCCATAAATATGCGCCTAGATGTGCATGTAATTTTATATGCTCATATTCTCCTGTTACTTTCTTTTAAAATGAACTTTGTTTAATTAATGTTTTTCAGGAAATTATAAAATAAGAATTTGATTATTATTATCAATATTAATAGAGAATATTAGGAATGATTTCTACAATTTATACAATTTTATTAAAATTTATATTGATCGAATATATAAATTTTTTAAAAATGAAATTCATTAGGATTAGTATTTAAAAATGATAATCCAAGAATACCTGTTAATTCAGGTTGATTATCGTTAATAAATGTATGAAATTTAATCAATTTTTGAGCAATTGATATTTGCGTGGTTCCAGAAGTGAATATAGATCCTGGCCGTATAATGGCAATTTCTGATCTATTAATCTTTGTATTTGGGGTTAAATATTTTTCGTTAATTAGATTAACATCTAAAGAAGGATTTATTATAAAAAGATCTCTTGAATCTTTTATGTTTTCAGATGAAATATGAATTTTTGGATAAATATCAATATTGAAGGTGATATTATTAGATAATTTGTTCATAACCAATAATATTAAGATAATTTTCTAGTACAACACCTTGGTGTTAATAGAGAAAAACAAGTTCGGAAAATATTTCTTGATACTCGTAATCTTTCACTTTGTAATGCTTCGTAATCTGAAGCCCAATTTGAAAAATAACTTGTTTGAAAATTAAAATCTAAGAACGGGGCACCTAGGATTCCAATAATTTCAGTGTCGCTATTATAATCAACAACTCCAAATTTTATTGTAAAATCGTAAAATTCTATATGGACATCTCCTCTAGTTAAAACAGTATTTTGACGGGCAATATTAATAATATTTGTGTCAATATAAGCTAGTGATGACACTGCTGATTCTTTAATTAAATTTATGGTTAGGGTATGATCAATTAAAAATTTACCTCTATTTAAATTAAAATTGCTTGATATAAGTTCAATGCATGGATAATTATATCTATTATAATCAACATTAGTTAGTATGATTAATTAATTTTTATTGTAAGTTGTCCAATAAATAACCGCAAACAAAATTATATAAATAAGTGATACGGATATATAAATAAATGTTGGAATCACAAATTCTCTGGAAAAAGTGGTTTCCACCATTTGATATTTAATTTATCAAATTTTAATTACTTTGAGATGTTATATAAAATTTAAAATTATTTGTTTTAATTTTCTAATATATTGATTATTTCTTTATTGAGAGTTATAATTTTTTCAGTTCTATCTAAAATGTTTTCAAAGAATTCTGAAAACTCTTGTTTAGTTTGGATATTTTTGATATTTAATTTTTTTGTTTGAACGTGTTTGATAATAATTAATTTTTCTTTAGTTTCTAGTTTCAATTTAGTTTTCATTATTCATAACATGTTAGGATGATGAATTAATGATTGGATAATTTTGTTATGTATTTAATTAATTAAAATATTTATTTTATTTATGGGGATATTATCCAAAAATTTAAAAATGGTTGTGATTAATGAATTGTAAGAGCAAAAATTTATAGATTAATAATTTAGAATTTAAAAATTTTTATTTTCGATACTAATTATTATTGTTTATTAAACAAAAGAAACATCCCACCGCTGCCACCAAATCAGCTGTTACATCCCGAGCTAAGGCTTGGTTTTTAAACAAATAATTTATTTATTTACTTGGGAGGGTTGTGCTGATTAATCAGATTGGTAAGATCTGATATTTTTATTTTGTAGGATCGTTGTTACTTTATAAAGACTATGGGTCTTGCGTTAAAAACAATAATAATAGATAGACATTCCCCTTTTCAATGTTTTATTATTTATACATATGATAATATACATGTGTAAAGGTTACTCACTTCTACGCTTGTATTCGGATTTCAATGGAAATGCTGAGTCGTCGTATAAGATTTATTTCTGGTTCTGTTTCAATAATGAAAACACAGTTTGTGGAATCACACTTGTGTATCACACACAACTATTAATGTTTCTTTATGATGATATAATATTCAACTTTCAGGCTTTAAATTTATTATCTAACGTTATTCACACCTACATTGGAAGAATTCCTTTAAAATGTGAAAGAGAAGCAACTTATAGACTTTTAATTGTTAAATATTTTATATCACAAAATACGACAGTAATATCAATGAAATTATTTAATGTAATTATTTAGTTTTTGTTTCTTGCACCTTTTAGGAAAGAATCTATTCTAAGTGAAAAGAAATTTAAATTGTACCTTTTTAGGAAAGAACTTTGTTCTAAGTATTAAATTTGCTTCTCTTGCACCTTTACAGAAAAGAATTCGTTCTAATTGAAACTTTAACAAAACTTGTACTTTTTATAAAAAGTTTACAATAAATTTCGCGAAATTAACTGAAGGGTTGCTCTACAATGAGATTAATCACGGAGATATACACTGGAACTTTTGACATCTTCTCTGATCAGAGATGGGGTTTATATACTATTCAATCCATTGCTTTATTGGGGATGATTTAGAATAAAAGCACGGATTTTGAAAAATTGTTAAGTGGCACGTTTTGCGCAAAAATGTTTAGTAGCACGTTTCGCGCAAAATTGTTAAGTGGCACGTACAGTTTTTCTAAGAATTGCATAGTGTCATTATACATTGTAACCGGACTTTTTTTTATGTATAATCATAACAACAGAACAAGTCATTAACAATAAATTTTTGACAAATATTGGCAAAAAAAAGAAACATAAACAATTAATAGTCAATGTAAATATTATAAACAAATAGTGTTGAGGATAAATAATATCAACCCAGATTACAATGAACAAAATAATCGCCAAAGTCTTTGAAGTCCGATTCAAAGGAAAAGCAAAAAGTTATCAACGCATTTCAATTCCCCTGAAGTGCGAGAGAGAACGAAATATCCAGACGATTGGGCGCCAGTCCTTTCTAGGGACAAAGTATAAACAAAATATAATCGCGAAACAAATCATTATGACAAATCTTCTAATTTAAATTGGGACTAAATCCCTAAAACTAGCAAGACATTAATCAAGAGTGAATCGAAATTTAACTTAATAGAAACGATAAAAAGTTAATTGAATTAATTAATAAATAAAATACCAAAATTTACTAATTTTCGATAAAATTACACTGAAGGTAGAAACGAAATGCGTGAGGTAAACGACAAAGGTATTGGTAACTCAGGGAGAAGGTCAGGGTTCGAGAAAATCACATTCAATATAAAATAAATTAATTGACAATTTATTCAGGAGATTTCAAAATTAATATTTACAATAAAAGTTGATTACAATAAAATGTATTGACCGCGACATAAAACGAATGTAAAATAACCCTAAGAGCCATTTCAAGGAAAGTCTACAACAATAAAACCGCGACATCAGGGACGCAACACTAAACAAATTTTACACAATTTTCAAAAGAAAAAAAAATCAAAAGTTTTAAATTAAGTAACAGAAATGGCGTCTTTCTTCACAAAACGAGTTCCCAGGTCAAATGGTCAAAATGTGTACAAACAAAATATATCTAATTTACAATAAAAAATACGCATAATTCATATGAAGATTTACACAATAGGGTTCTTATTTAGCAAATATGGGGCGGGAAAGGTGCCAATAATACACACTAGGGTAAAAGATTTCAGGGTCTTAGACAATTTCAGTGTGGGACATTTAGGGACGTTTGGGGGCATTCTCGTGGGACATTTGGGGTATTCTCGTGGGACATTCCACGAGATTGTTCGTCGTTCATCACGAGGACAATAATCGAATTGAGTGACAAATGAATATTTCGTGGGACAAACTCACGAATATTTTATTATAATTGTGTTAAAGTGGGACATATCCACAAAAGGGAAAAAAACACACTATAATAAGGGGGACAAACAAAGGAAATGTAATATTAACATAAAAAAATAGCTTACTTGACTGAGAAATCCGAGCAGCGTGGTCGAGCGAGAGTGAGAGCCAAACAGGGGACATCTACTTAAAGCGACACCAGAGAATTACAGAATTGCTAATTCGAATTAAATAATCAAAATCAATGAAGCTATTTCATTGATTATTCTTCAAAAGAAAAACAAGGGCTATTTCATTGATTATTCTTCAAAAGAAAAACAAGAGCACTGTTACGCACAAAAAAGATTCACAACACTCGCTCGACCACGAGGCCGGCCAAACCACCTGTTTTAAATTACATCACAAATGATATAATTTTGGGGAATATGTCAGAGGCACTTACTTTATTTAGGAGAGAATACTCTCGCGAGGACTTCTCGGCAGGATCGAGCTGGATCGTTTTCACTATTTAATTTATTTGTTTCTACGAATAGAAAAGAAAGACTTTCGGCGCACAAACTTCCGAGCTACTGCTTGCTGCTTGGCTGCTTGCGAAGAAAAGAGGGAGAATCCTTTGGCTTTTGCCGCGACGTAGGCTCGCTCGCCCCTCTCCGCACATTTTCCCGGTGTCTTTGCACGACCAGCTTGTATCCCTACGCTCAACGAGTGACGTGATCACAGGTGGAGAATAGTGACCTGTGGTATGTTCTCCTTTTGTGATTTCACACTCACTCTTCTTTGTTTTCCGGGCTGTTAATTTTCACTGTCGTCAGCCTCCGTATAATCTGGGTCTGGGACATGGCAACATAGATTTGATTATTGTGATTAAAAGGAAAAAGGGAAACATGGCCAATGTGCCAGAGATTATACGGTCCTGGGCAAGGGGCGTCTCTAATACCATAGAGAATTGACAGTGGAATTGCCTCCTGTTAATTATTCCTCTAGGATGGCTTCCTCGAATTCTACTTAGACTAATAAATAGCGGACATACTTCCGAGACGAGGGATCCTTTTATCGGGTAACATGTGGAGGTTGAGTCCAGGGTTGGTCGATTTCCAATAAAGAGTCGATACTGAGTTAACTACGGTGGTATCTTCCTGTTAGTTGCGGACGGATGTGACGGAGTGGCGCATGCGTTCTGACGTTGCAGTTGATTTCTTCCAGTATTTCCAAATCCTCACAGTGCGAATTTCAAAATCTGCGGTGGATTAGTGGTTGGCTTCTCGTGTTGTCCGGGGCACAATTTGCAGTTATGTTCATGAAAGGGAATAATAGAGGGTTTACAAACAATTCAAAAAAAACAAACATTAATGACCATTGAGCTGGGAATCTCAGTTGCAACCAACAGCAGCAACAACTCGGACTCAAATTTGTTTAATAAATTTTTAGTAGTTTTGTTTATATAAAAAAAGTGCCACGTCACAACACCACCCTTCTAAGAGAGGGCCTAAACAGGCCCTCTTGCGAAGGCAAGAAGTTTGACGAGCTAGGCTGCTATGGATATTCCCAGTCAGAGGTGATTTCTATTATATAAAGAGAATCATTGCAAGTATCATCTTACCAATTTGTAGTTTCTCGAGGACTTCCTGGGAAGTGCTAGAACTTTGTGAATATGATAATAACAATAAAAATCTCTGTCCTGTGTGCTCAAAATAAATTAAAAGCGTCTTGAATTCATATATAAATAAGAGTTTACTTTAAGCGAAATTATTTAATTTTTAATAGCTGAAACAAATCCTGAAAAAGGGGAAGGTTAATCTCTTCTGAAATAAGTAATAGCAATGTTATTATTTTTATAAAAAATATAAATTCGTTTATTAACATTAGTTTAAGATTAGAGTTACAAAAATATAATTTTTTTTTTTTTTGATCTAGGATTGGATTTGTGTTCTTGGGGTTTTACGTTCCGAGGTGGGAAGCGAGGGAACAAGGGATACAGTCTTCATACTTCGTCTTCTCTGTACCGCACTTTCGGCAGAAATTTTTGTTGCCTTTAATGGGGGCGTAGGGACATGTCTTATACTGGTGGCCTTCTTTCTTACAATTCCAGCATCCAGGAGGGGGTCGGTGTTTAAGCCACGCTATTACCTTTGGAGATACTCCTGCTGGTTTCTCGATGTGCATTTCGAGTAGGGATGGTGGGGATTCGTCGATTGTATTAGGGCGTTTTGGTTTTGGGTAGGCGGTGGGCGAGGCGTAATTGTAACCGCGGCACTGTCTTGGTCGGGGTGATCGCTTTCGTTTTGAAGGTGCGTACTTATAAGGAGATAGGGGAACTGGTGATCTGTGATCCTGTGATCCTCTTGTCGAACGATTAGGGCGGACGAAATTTTCCTTTAGGATTGGATGTGCTCTTTTCAGGTACTCCTGATGGCAAAATTCTTGATTGTTGTTTGGGTCGGAGTATTTGACCTTTCTGGAATCTTCTGTTCTTTCCTCGGGTTGTTGAACGAGGGGAACATCGGGCTCATTTGTGGGCGGAAGGATTCGTGACTTGCTAGGGTTTTCCTCTCCAGGGTTGTCGGATTCAATGGAGTCGTCATGAGTATCTAACTCCAGAAATTCTTCGGTTTCGGGGTTTGCAGATTCCTCCGGGTCGTCATGAACTGGGGAATTTTCTGCAAGAGTCTCTACAGGAGTTTCTCCTGAGGTTCTCTCGGGAATGCTTTTGGGGATATCCTCTGGGACTGTCTCCAGGATTTGTTCGGTGGTGTAACACACAATGATTTCTTCTGGACTTTCTTCACGATTTTCTTCACGGGTATCATCGGGGTTTTGCTCGAGGAGGTTTTCAGGGTTTTCACCTACTTCTTGATAGGTAGATGAATAGCTTTGGGATTCAGCAGTTTCATCGAGGACACGCTCGACATCAGGATCGATTTCTGCGGCAATGGGATCTTCTGGGAAGTCCTGGAGGAGATCGTCTTCCAGGTAGCTGTAGGAACTACTGATGGACGATCTTGCTTTGTCGTCGGCTTCCAGATCATCAGGAAGTGACTCTAGAATGGCGTGATCATTGGATTCATTCGGATCCGTTATCACCGAGAATGAGCAACTGGTGGATTCTTCGTCATCGTCCATTTTCTTGAAGTCAGTGTCTTTCTCTTTGTCTGATTCGT